AAAAATCCCTATTGATTTCCAACCAATTCGCTTTTAGTGGAATAGTAATAGGGACAAATCCCTTATGTATGTTGCTGCTTATTCCATCGTTTTAAGCTTAAAATACTGATTTTTGGTGAGTCATATTGAGATACGTACGCCGTGTACTCGATTTCCTTCTAAATGTGTAGGAGCACATGAATGCACTCTCTCGCATTAGAAAATAACTACGTCGAGTAAATTCTCTTTTGATCACTTTTGCTCCTCTCGTAAAATGTCGTATTTTAGATAACCACTATCAGAAAGATGGGGGGCTTGTCTGTCCTAGATAGGGAGCGAATCCTTGGAAAAGGGGAGTGTGACCAGATACTTCTCTCTCCACAGCATCCATGAAGACATTGACTGCCCTCCGCATTTTTACTTCCGACACTCGAGAAGAAAGGGAAAATTGAACAGAGAAAAGCTGAATACCTGAGAAGGACAGAATCGAGTATTCCAATTTGCAGCTTCCGCCAAATTTTACCACCAAGCGAGGTGCCCCGTGAATATAAGCTGTTCAGAGATGTTAAATTGACCCACAAGTAGGTGCCAACTCTAAACCGATTTTTAGATTATCACAACTTTCTTTGAAACCATTTTTAATGGGGCCATGTTCATCACGACAGTCCATACTGTCCTCCATATATCCGCAAGTGATGGATGCCTTTCTTTCAAAATTGTGAAGCATCGACTTAAGAAATACAAGCAAGCGCAACAATGCAATGCAAAAATCGAGGAGCAGAACCTACTTCAGGTGAGCGTCACCTATTGAAGCTCATTGTAACTGCTGAGCGTCACGTTCCTACCAATGCCTTCGTAGGTAGCTTGATTACCCTGCCCACTTCGCAACCCCGGTAACCGCTTGTCGAGCCAGTCGACACAACAACTTTTAGACAACGATATTTACATGTGTCATTCCAGCAACCTCATTCAACTCTAGAGGATCCCATCTTCCTAACAATGCCTGATGGTTCAAAGGGTGGTGACGGCACGTGGTGCTCAGGGAGAACAGAAGATCCACTACACTTCAACGGGTACTGACGAATGTATTTTCACAAGAACCTTTTGAATGCGCCCAATGTTTGCGGTCAATGGGTGTCCGGAACGTGGCTGGTCTTCATGGCTGTAATCGCTCTGGCGAAATTTCCTGGATCACTCGCGACAGATCCTCTCTTCAGCGTGACCCTTCAGCTTCACAAACATCTGAATAAGTGAATCTCGCTGAGTACCCCTGATAGAGCTTCTAAACAGATAGTGACGAAAATGAGCTGAAATGGACATTATTGTCTTCTCTGGAAACAAGTAACGGCAGTCTGATTTTATATGAAGGGATTCTGTGGTTGTCACATAACCCTTAGCCGGGAACAACGCAAGCATTTCTCGAGAAAGACGACACGTGTATGCATAAATCTGCATTTACTCACAACTCGATCTAAATCATTAACTGTTCTGATTGAGAATTTCATTTCTCTCCTGCAGGCTCCTTCAATTGGGCGGAAGTGGTGTAGTGGCAAGTGGCACGCTTACCACGCGAGCGGTCCGGGGATCAAATCCTGGGTCGTGAGTCGCCCGGGCCAACCAAGCCTTCCATCCGGGGTCGGTTAATTGGTACCAGACTTGTCTGGGAGGATAAAAACACTGACTTGTACATCGGCTGGCCCCCGCAAGTTGTATAGGCCACATCGCATTCAAACGCCACTACGAATGTACAAATGGAAGTAGAATGCGTGCCGCATCCCAAAAAGGGATTGATCAACGGCAAATGCTTTATCCTTTATCCTTTATGCTCCATAACGAAGCTTGAAGCTGACAGTTCTTTCGTTCTGGAAACATGTTATCACTTTAAACCTCTTCCGGAGTAGTTCATGATAAAGGGAACAAAAACATCAGGCGGCTGGCGATTGCAACACTTTCGCAGATAAGACAATGTTTACCTTCCATCCCTTGCAAATCATCTTGTGCGATGTTGTCCTCAAAGCTGCAGCTAAGTCCGCTGAATGAGCTAAAAACATTACGATACATTCGGGTTTATTAACTCCTTGATCGTGTCGCTTTTTCTGAGTTGCGCCACATATCGTACTTCCACTGAGAGTTGTGGTGGGCACCTAAATGCAATCTGTGCAATGGAGTAAAGGTGCCAGACTATGAAGAAGTCAGTGTTTTCCTTCTTTCACATTTTTTCTATTACAATTAGGCGAGTTCGGAAGGTATGGTTGCCCTAGGCAAGACACTATAGTGAATTTGATCGTTGTTCTATGCACCTAGGAGTGCGCGTGGCCACGCTTCACAGGACCATCTTGGCCCGGTTCCATGAGTTGGAGGTATCCCGGTCCCATCGGTTCTTGATAAAATGGGTGTGTAAGATTGCTCAATAGTGAAGCTAGAGGTAGAGAGTGATCTGGAGAAGAAAAAGCGAGCAAAAAAGAAGCCCTTGAACACTTCCCAATTAAGCGCTCTCTATTCAGTCGCATCCCACCTTGAGATGGAGAAGAGGCGTGTTCGGACGAATTTCGGGGACGACTACTCCATTCGCTCCAGTGCCAGTGACATTGAGCCGCAACGCTAACGCTGCGCAACTGCGGTTACGCTCTTCTCGCAGCGCCAGCGTGGCCGACAGCGGAAGGCGGGGTTTGCGGACGAAGGTGTGGATTGCGGGTCGAGCGAGCTTCTAGCGCCTTTGTCGCGCACTTTCAAGCCGCAAAGGAGGCGCACATCAAGCGCTTGTCGCCTGTCTACGCTGATCACCGATGGGACATGTGAACCTGGCTTATCCCATAATGTGATATAACTGAAGTAATTCTCCATTTGAAAGCACTGACACATTACCGAACATTTTGACCACGAATCTCTTGTAAAAGCTGCTGAGTAAGTGTAGATGGCTGCCTTTAGATGCCATCATTTCTAGAACCATGACTTATGTGAATGTTTACTATTTTCCCTTCTTACATTGCCAGACTGAAACTCGAAACCTCTTTTTCTAAAAAGTTCACAAGAATGATTACCTATCCATTAGATGAGATTAGAGTTCAATCATGAATGATCATATTTGGGTACGCGGAAAATTCTTGGGAGAGCGCGAGTCCTCTCACTTTGAAAACTCAGAACTACCTTCACAAACCATAATTCAGAAGTTATATGGCAAAGAATTACATGGCATTGTGGCTGGAAAACCTGCTCCACTAGAACTGAGAAGACTCGATTCGTATAGTATATCGAAAATGACTCCGTTGAGGTTTTTTTTTGCAAAAATAACGAGAGAAATTTTTGAGGTGCGCCAATTTTCACAAGTTCAAAAGCCATCACTTTCTCGAAATGCAGCATCAAGTTTGGAAACTTAATATGGAAATTGGAGGTTTCTCTCCATTGAATGACCACTAAAAGCTCTTGGTACCACAATGTCAGAAACGATTCCAATGAGGATTTCTGTCCGAGTACTGCCGAGAGGTTCTTCTTTGATGCGTTGTCACTTCTTCACTAACCATACTTCTTCAATGGACAATTTTGTTCAAAAGTGGAAGAAGCTTCGAGATTTACAAGCTTTTTGCTTCCTGGTAAATATGGAAGTGTGCTGGAAGGTTTTTACATACTTCCTCAGGTAGCTATAAAGTTAACGCTGAAAATTGTTTTTTTTTTGAGTGGTGGATTCCTTCCTATCATTTCATACAATTGTGGGAACTTTTTGATGTCATTCAAACTCACACCTAGTTTGCAAGGAACGGGAATTAGTGCGCTGGTCGAACTCGCGCAGGGACGCGCCGTGCACTCGACATCTGGCGCGAGTCGCGGTTTCCATCCACTATCGAACAGGCTGATCATTGCTGATCACGGTCTTAACTTAAAACGAAAAAAAGCCCCGTCCTGCCGGTTTGGGATGTTCAACTTAATTTTTTTTTCACAGCTAACATCTTAGCAACTGTAGCAATTGTCTCAGAGAGCGACCAATTTACCGTGTCGCCTGCCTTTAAGTGCTTTTGTAATTAATAAACATTGGTGATAGCATGATTCGGTGTTCCGCAATAAACCTTTTTTGCTTTTCGATTTCCGACTTCATCAAAAACTACAATTTCTGTTAATCTACAGTAGCGGTCAAAAGTGCTCGCAGAAACGGAAAAAAAGGGAAAAAAATTTAATGGTGATCTTAAAAGAATTTTCTTTCTGATATCCTGGTTCCTTGAGGGTTTAAAAAACACTAGAAATTAGTATATCAATCTTTGGAAGGACGTTGCTCAAGCGAGAAAAAATAATGCACTAAAAATCGTTTCGGCGAACACTTTTGACCGCTACTGTATGTACATTGTGGTGCTCTCCCTTGGAAACTTGATATTAAACAATCTAAATGGTTTCAATTGTTGACTTTTTGGCTTAGAATTTCCGTCCTTCTTAACTGGGAATTACTCGAGGCTGTATTGTGCTCTTTGTTTAATTCATGAACCTCATATATTCTGATTATCACCGATTTTTAGAGGGCGGGGCTTGTACTACAAATTAACTTTGCTATGTTTCCAAGAAAGTGAATAAACATGCCATGAACGGGATCGGCTCTTTGCTGCTGCTTTGTATTTAACACTACAGTATTGCAACTGCAAAGTAAATATTACATTATGGAGAGGTGGCTTTGGGAAGGCGCGTTGCAATTTATTATGTAGCCATGAGATCAAATCCTCCCCCTACCAAGCATTGCTTCCCTTTCTATGAAGCCGCTTGCTTAGTAGCTACACAGCTCTACGAGCAGTTAGTCTCTCCCGCAGTCTGTTTGTAACAATTCCTATCCCATCAATTTTTTTTGTTTCGTTTTTCAAAAATTATTTCTCTTTTCGCATGATTCTTTCCTTTTTACTTGAACTTCTGCTTATACGGGGGTCTTATCTTGGAACGCATTAATCTATTATTGAATTCGTTCCTTGTTGCGCTTCGTTCTAGCTTTCTTTGCTTGAGTTGCTGTTGTTCGAATTCCATCCTTGAGTTATCTCCATTTTCAGGACATGGCACATGCGAAACCTGCTCGTATCTATAAACGCGAACCTGCACAAAGGTAAGTGCTCTGTTCAAGGCGGTTTCTTTTCTAGGGGAGCTGAAGCGCTATAGATCGGACCATTGTCCATTGGAAATCTATGCTTGAATTAACTAAAGAATTACACGCACGGTCGTTAAGTGTCTACAGTATGCCTCTACATGTGTAGGTCAGAAAGCAAAACGTCAGGTTGCTCCCTGCGTATTCTGGTCGGAGGTAGAAAGAAAGTACCTCTAATCCTCGTATGTGCGTTTAGGAAAGTAAGGTCCTGGTCCCGCTTTGCCTGGACTAAAAATTTCAATAGGGAAATTCCCAGGCTGCATTTAATTCGAGTAATTTTAAGAGCTGAAGTGAAGTGATGAAGAGAAGTTGAGTGAAGCGGAGTGAAGTAATGAATTCTAACCTAAGACCTAAAAAAATCTTCATCATGATGAAGCTATTTTTGAGGAACAGCTCAAGTGTACTCTTCATAAATCATGGTAATTTTCTAAAAATGCACAAATTATGCAGATTATCGATTGCTTTGCCTGCACAAGCGGCCACAGCCATGGGTTTGACAGGTGCTCTTTTTCTCTATTTCTGACCAGTGTGCACCTTTAGCCCGAAATTGGGAATGAATCAATTTAACAGTCCTTTACTTAGTCCAGAGCAACGAATGAAACCGTTCACAATGGGTTGGTGACATATTCAGTATTTCCCTTATTTGTGGTGCCTCAAACTAAAACCTTTTTCAAAAGCTGTTGGACTTTATCAAACACACGGTTACCGTAATGGAGGACCTGTAGTTGGGTGCATTTGTAGTGGCAGAAATTAGAGCGAGGGAAAGAGATTTTATCACACTCTACATCCCTAACCCCAATCAATAATAATCATAATGACAGCACTCGTCGCCTAATTGTAAGGACTGCTCAAGCCTAGAGAAGAAGCGCTAGAGATTTTTCAAGCAACAAGTACAACGTATAAATCTATAAAATGTTATGGCTTGACCACTGGTTTCTAAAATCGTTTGAATCTTAACAGCAATTTCATTTACTTATTCAATTGTTCATTTATTATATTTACAATCGCATCAGCTAAAACAAGAGGACTAAACAAATAGATTGAGAACATAGTTGAGAAAAAACGTTGACACTCAACCCCTTAACCTATGGCTTACGACCGTACTTCGTTCTCACAATTTTCGTTTTCATCAACATTTAATAATCCATTAATCATGATGAAAAATATTATTAGTGGAGCTTATCGGGTCCGATAAGCATAATCACACCTTAGAAATGAAAAATTCTGAAATAAATCGAGCAAAACAACCGTTACTGCGTTCGGTTACTTTCGGGCACCACGATCCGCACTGAGCGGTAAAACTCTGAATATTTTTCAGCGAATGGATTGAGATTCTTTCAGTATTCCGCTTGGGAAATAATTTCCTTCGATCCTGGAACGTCTTAGTTTCATTAAATCCGCATTGTGCATTCAAGCGATGCACTTATTTCTCCATACCCATCTGTGCACGTTCTCTGAAATGAGAGCTTAGGAAAAAGTTTTTGGACGTTTCGCATTTGATTGCCAGTCGGTGGCCAGTAGTCTTTCTGATGGCGCTGAACGACACTGGTGGGTGTGAGTTCCGGGACTCATTCAGATCGTCGGATGAGTTCGTGAGGAGTCACTCTTTTCAAAAGTTTGTTGGGTGGAAGAAAGCCACAAGCACGGCACAATTATCCACTAGAAAATTGGTTTCCTGCGATACCCCCGTGCATACAACCGGAACTAATTCACCTTGGCATGTTTCACCGCGATAAAAATATTTCTCTCCGCAACCCTCACACTAGCCTCAAAAATCTTCCCTTCAACCACATTTTAAGGTGTTTAATAATCAGGATTCGGAGGAAATTTGAAAATCCGAATTCAGCCTGATATTTCCGTTTGAAGTTTATGGGCATGATAATTCAGTTTTGGGAAAGGGTGAGGTGCTTGAGGTAGGCGAGCGCCATTGTTGTATGGGCTGATTGGCTTCGGCAGGATGAGCCGACGTCGAGAGTTTAAGGCATGCAGAGAGGGGGGGGGGTCGAGTATTGCTGGGAAAGGGTTATTTTGCGATGAAAAATGTCGTATTCGTTAGTATCGGCGGTGGAGTTTCGTGAAAGGGAGGATTTCTTAGTTGGGGTTTGTGAATTTGCGAGGGAACTTTGAGGTATTCTTAGGTCAGCGGAGTTTTGAAGAAGGTGAAGTTGGCTTCAGGTAGGACAGGTCATAGAGAGTTTGTGAGTGGACAACAGTGGCGGAGAAGGGAGTCGGGAGTGGGGGAGGGGGGGGGGAAGTCGTATGGTCTGCTGTGTTCTCCTCTTCATAGCTTATTCTGTTTCATAGCCCCCTTTAGATAACTTTAAGCGTGTTCCCTAAGATGTGGGTTGGAAACTGGGTTCAGCTTGTCTGGAGCTACATATAGCTTTTCTCTGGAAGTACGAAGCCATCTTTGGACAGCTGAGTGGTAAAGATTGCTGCGAAATGCTGCTATAACCTTTTTTTCGAAGCATCTTTCCAGTGTTCTGGAATTTTATAACATCACAAGAAAATGACAGGGTTGTTCGGTAATGTGTAGAGCTCTTAGTGGGAGATATCGATGGCTCACTGGGCGCCAGAATTCACAGCAAAGAAATGCTTTGGCATAGTTTTGTGAGAACGGAAAACAAGGCTCGGCTTGGGAGAAGAATTCGATTATACTGAAAACGTCTGAACGAGAAAAACACTGCAAAGAATCGGGCGAGCGGACGTTGAGGAATGGGGCAAGCCCAATGAGGCAAACAAATCGCATTCAGGACATCGTTGAACGTTTGATGGTCTGGCTTATGCTGGTGATTATGTAACTGGGAAGCGCAGGCTAGGGTGATTTTTGGCTCCGGTATGAGTGTGAGGTGCTAAATTAGAGCAAAGGGCTTAAGCAGGTGATGAATCCATGAAGATGACGACGTGACTCAAAGCTGGGCCCAGGGCTTTTTCGGCGTTTTGTTCATTGTGAGGTGGGCGGTCGTTGGCGCGGCCACCACGGTGAACGACTGCTGCTGGCTGGCGCTGTGCTGGAATAGCGCCTATCGCTAGGCGTATAGAGTGCAGTGCGGTCTACATTCGTCCTCTGCTATCCGTTTGAACATGGTTTCGGATGCGATTCTTCACAAACGGACCCCTGAACAAAGGTTTTCAGTCTCATTTCACTCATCGTTTTTTCGGCAATTTTTGCGTGACACTGCCTATCGTATGAATCTCATAGCATTAACGAGAATTGCCCGAATACGGCGAGAGCGTGAGTTATGCGTTTTTTCGCCATCTTGACCAGAGAAGCATCATCTTGTTAGTGAAGATAGGAGAAAAATCCTGAGAATCGAGTGTATTCTATACTGCATGACCCTACAAGGAAAGCCTTCTAGGGTGTTCGTCAATCGGTCACTTCGCATGGAGAAGATCAACTACTTCGGTTTCGACATGGACTACACTCTTGTCCGTGAGTCACATTTAAGTTTTTCCATGCAGCTAGGTGAAGTGGATTATCCATTGGCCGTTATCCGGTTTTACCTCGACACAAAATTTTACGGCTCATTGAAAATCAGCACCACATGAAGGGCGAACTCGGTGAGGATCCGCATAACTGCCACATAGAATATCGGTGTTCAACCAGCTGTAAAACATTCATCATGACATGTTCCATCGTGATGAAATAATTCCTGTTTCAGAATACAAATCACCTGATCTCGAAATCCTTGCCTTCGAACTTGCTGTAGAGCGTCTGATCACCATTGGTTACCCGGAGGAAATTCGAAAATTCAAATATGATCCGATTTTTCCAGTTCGAGGTAAGTGAGCCTTACTAATGAGTCCGGCTGAAGTCATCATTTCAGTAGTTTCCAAGTCGATTTCTCCTAGGTCTTTGGTTCGATTACGCCTACGGTAACCTTCTCAAAGTTGATGGCTTCGGAAATATCTTAGTCGGCATGCATGGCTTCAAATTTCTGAAGACGTAAGCCTTTGTGACGTCAGAGCCGTGAAAATTTGTCGGCGGTACGTATTCGTTCGACGGCAACGAAAAGTTCATTTTAGGTCGGAAATTGAAGAAATCTATCCGAATAAGTTTCTTCAGCTGTCTGAATCTCGAGTGTTCGTGCTGAATACGCTTTTCAATTTGCCGGAAACACATCTGCTGGCCTATCTCATCGACTTTTTCGACACCCATCCCGACTATACGCCGTAAATTGTTTTTTCAGTATTCTTAAATGAACTCGATACTTCACATTCGTCGAAATGGACGAAGAATTCCGGATGCGACTCATTTCACTATGACAGGGAACACTTCTTTCTCGTGGCATTCCCACGAGGCTGCACAATGGTTTTAGCATTGCGAAACCGCGAGCCTATTTCTTACCCGAGTTCAGGCTTCGTTCTTTCACATGGGCTCGTTTGGTCCCGACCGGCGTGAGGGCTTATATCGACCATTGATTGCGAATGCGGTTTTTTTTTCATGAGACAGAAAGACAATTCCTGGGGTTTATCGCCTTCATGACCCTATGATAACGGAATTAATGCGCTTGTCATAAAGGACAATGGTGATGCACGTGGGCCGTAGAATGCCATAAGCTGATGGGGAGGGATTAATAGTGAATGCGTAGGTCAGATTCCTGTGGTAGTGATGAAATGGAATGTTTTCGGGTGGAGGCTTTCGTCGTTGCACTCGTAGAGTAATCGATGTGTCCTTTAGGCTCGAGGACAAAACCGGAGTTCGAGGTGGCGATGTACTGATGTCATACAAATCCATATTCCATGACTGTCGAAGCGCTTTGGACTGGGTTCATCTCGAGGTATCAAATGGGTGGTTTATTTTATCGATTCGAGTTCTGAAAAGGCATGCGAAAAGTAGGTCTAGAGAGGGGCTTTTGCACAAAAGAGTGGATGGAATTGAGGCAAAAGAAGTTTTTACCTCTCGCAAGACTCAATAATGCCATTAGGTTTCCGACTCAGTGTGGGCGCAAACAAAGGGCTAGTGTCGAACTCATAAGAAAGATTATCTTTTCGAATGTAAGTGGTGAAAAGCTTGAGCATCGGGATTTGAAATGGAATGTAAACTTCTGCAGCATGCAGAAGGGCGGCGAATAGGGTAGGAGCCAACATCTGGTTGGATGTAGGCGTGTCCAGCGCGAACACTTTCTCGAAATCGAAAGTCGGAAATAGGAAACCCGGAAATCAAGAGCTCGTGGCGATAATTAAATGGGTGGATGTACCCTAGTTGCTGTGAGTCATTTTTGCGCCCCGATTATTTGGAGTGGCTTGAAAGGGCATTTTGAAGGCAAGGATCTGGATCAAATTTATGAGGGAATCCCGCTTGATTCAGGAACAGAGATGCGAAGTGAACCACAATTTAAAAAAAAAGAAAAAAATATCGTCAAAAACATAATATCGACACAGAAAATACGAGCTTCCTTGCTCGATGCTGAAGTCTAAGATGCAGACAGCGAAATAAGAGATGATGTGAGGCGCGGGGAGGGAAAAGAACTCCGAGTCAAGCGACACAACGGATCAACGCTGTAATACAGGCAAAATAGCGAATGATGGGCGGGTACTGGTCCTTTCAGGCGGTGGATGATTCAAGTGGTCGGCGTCTAACGCCTTAGTGACGCGTTTAGAGGTGCTAAAGTGGCGAGTCCTCTGCTGTTGCGGACTCAGCAACTGGAGCTCTATAAATGACAGAAACTACTCCTTAGTGAGGCTAAGCCTGAACTATGTCTTAATTTGGCAGCGGAAAATGTAGAGCGGAAAATGAAATGTGCAGCTCGACAAGCTCAAGACGAGTCTTTTAGTCTAACAGCTATAACTCAATGGTGGATAAAATGGGTAGGGCCGTTCAAACCGTACATTATTCAGCACTAAGTATTAAACGGGAGAGTTAATGAAATTCACCATAAGAAACACTATTTTCAAGCTACACAACTATCGATGGGACAGAATGAGTGGGAGCGAATAAGAAGAAAAAATATTGGGAAGGTTGGGGAAGAAGATCATTTAAAAAAATCAAGAACTACTGGGTAAATCTGGGTCATAAGAATTTTTTCGAGACGTTCATATAACTTCTTTCTGTTTGATAACTGCTTTTTCGGCCGCCACATCGCCATGCGAAGGTTAGAAGGTTACCACACGAGTGCTGAGTTGGGGTGAACTCCCCGACGGGATTCGAGCCCGTTTTTCTCGTTCAGCGAACAAGTGTGCTACCGATTACGCTACCCGAGCGCCATTTCCCATGACTCATTTTCATAAAATAGCATGCTTTTTCGATACCCAAGGAAATATTGAAAGAGACTATCTTTAATCATTAACTTCATTTCAAGTTTGACGAAAAATGGAAGAACTACCACCACCACTTACTTACTTGACAAGTATGCCCAAGCACTATTCAGTAACGAGTAGCGTATTACAGAGCGACATGAAAGAGATGATCATGCAAAATATGGAGAAGTATGTGGTACGTGAAGAACGTGCACGTGTACTACTTCAACAACTACGAGAAGCTGGACGGCAAACTTTTCTGCTTACAAATAGTGATTATAGATATACAGATGTAAGTCTTTTAATTCGTTTAATTCGTATGAGGTATTTCAGAAGTGCGCGAGCCTAGCGTAGTGGGAAAATGTGCCACATCTATTTTAATCCACCAGATCGAGTTCTGTCCGGGCCAGCGAAATCTTCATCGTTTCCATGTCCTTTAGCAACAGTCTTGTTTCGGCATAGGTTTCAAGACACCAATATTCATCATGAGTTGACTTGCCCACGTAATCGAATGGCCGGGTAACAATTCAGTGGCCTCTATGACTCTGGACGAAGAGGTGGCGCATCTCCTTGTGGATGACCAACACCGAGTAATTTAATCTTTAATATTTTCGACCTTAGTAGAGTGAAGGGATTGTTACAAAAACGGCGAGGAATGACAGAACTATCCTTCAATATTTTTTGATCTATATGATTTTTTCTTCAGACACGCGCCCATCCATCTAGGACCAAGCCTAGGACGGGGCCGGAACTTCGAAAAAAAGTGAAAATTGCTCGCGCACCCTGGAATTCCTCCTCCCCGCCGAAGACTTGGTCCTTTTCCAACAAAAAGGAGATGTTTAGCAGCCTTTAATGCATTGCTACCACAAAGCGCCGTGGAACCGCTAGGCCCTGCTCTGAACCGCTTCCGTGAATTTCTTCAGGCCCAAGAATCATATCAGTATCACTGGCAGTTTGGATTTGCTTTCAGAGGATGATGTCATTCGTGTTAGGCAACGACTGGCGATCTTTCTTCAACATAACTGTTGTCGACGCAAAGAAGCCGATGTGGTTCGCAGAGGGAACTGTATTCCGTAAGGTTGGTTCATAGATTTAAAGGAATCTTCCACGGAAAAAGCTCCGCCCTCATTACCACAGAAAACGATACCTTAAAGGAATCTTCCACGGAAAGAGTGATCATTTTGTCTTGTGTGTAGGATTAGTATTATCGAAACTAACGCTTATGTTCCGTTCTTTTTGCTATGCTCATGAGGCTAGGGGCCTAAGGTATCGTTTTTCTGTGGTAATGGAGGCGGAGCTTTTTCCGTGGAAGATTCCTTTAGGATGCTCGGAATTACAGAAAAAAAATCAGATGGAACGTTAGTTAGTACGTTAGTCAAGTGTGCTCGTAAGCTTCTCGCTGAGCGTAAATTTTTTACTTTATTTTGAAAACATAATGGCATGGAATGTTGGATTTTTTTTAGTTACCATATATATCTCTTGTCTTCCAGGTCGACACAAAAACAGGTGCTGTCACGTTAGGTATTCACACAGGGCCGCTGAAGGAAGGTGTCGTTTACTCTGGAGGTTTGTGCTTTCACTTGACCAAATTTTATTGAGTAGTCTGCTATTTTCTATAAAAAAATTTCGGAATCTCAAATTGTGCTTTTTCTGCTACTTTTGGTTACGTCAGTATTTTGCAAGCCGTAGCCACTGCATTCGTGGAAAATTACCTATCATACTCTTCGAAGCCTAGAATATCACGATTTTTGGGAAAATGTTGCAGATTGTGGGCTTCCTACGTCTCGATTGTACTTTCAGGTTCCAGTGACGCTTTTCATAAAATAGTGAAGGCTCGAGGAAAAGATGTTTTGTATATCGGAGACCATATCTTCGGTGATGTGTTGAGGTAACGCTATTTTTTACTCCCTCAAGAGCCATTGCGCTTTTCTATTTAGCTCTTCTCTTATTTTCCAGGAACGTTAAAGTTTTCAAGATTTGATAATGCCTGTTACTGAGAATATAAAACAAAGGTCTCAAAAGACCCTCGAAACTTTTTTCTGCACCATGCTTTCAAGGAACTTTCAAGGAATGTTGACCTCTCCAGTCTGACCAACCCCTCTCCCGTCGTCAGGTTGGAGCCAGAGTCAACCCTGCGTTGCGCAGTTCGCAACGGCACGTTGAGAGATCCTCAACGCACGCTGTATGGGCGGAGACGCAGACGGCTCGAGCATGCGAGTGTGAATGTTCGCGCGAGAGAACGTGTCTAATCGGGCGAAACTGCGCAACGTGGCCGTTGAGAACTGCGCAACGCAGGGTTGACTCTGTTGGAGCAACACTACGTTGAGGTTTCCTTGAGGCTCTCTTTCTGAAGCAGTGCGTTAAAAACTTCTTTGAGATGAATCTTTCCTTTTTTTCGTTTTCTTTTCTTTCCTTTTCAGATCTTTTTTCTGGACGACTTTCTTTTTTCTAACCTAATTTGCCATTCTTACTGTCTTTCCTTCTCGATTCATGAATAATCTCCTACCCATGTCTTTCAATCTGCATTACCAAACAGGTAACATAGAAAACTTCCCAAAAGTTAATTATTTCTCAAGGATTCGTATATTTTCGGCACTTGGGATGGTATTAGCATTTATATTGCGTGTTATGTCTACATTGGTTGCTGCTGAGCGAAAAGTTATTACTTGGCTCTGTTTCTTTTCCGAATTTTGATGCAAACACAAATTGCCTACGTCGGCCGCAGTTGTCTCGTCTGGAGACACGTCATGATTTGCGTAGCGTTTTGAGAAAGAATGACGAATGACTTCAACAATGAGCACGGTGGTGATGACTCATGCTTAGAAAATGTCGCCAGTAAAGATGGCAGAGAGCATTTTACGAATCCTGTTCTTGTCCGGCAGGCAACTGAACGACCACGACTGCAATTAAAAGAAGGTGGTACGGTAAATTGGTCTCCCATTGGGAGTGAAAGTAGAGCTCCTAAGAGGTGCAGCGGAGGTCTAAGAGGAAAGGATTTGAGAGCATACTCCAGGATTAAATTGGTGTGGTTCTTGCATACGAATGGGAAAGTATTGGTGCAAATGGGCCAGGTCTGAGAAAAAGAAGAAGCGCATCCGTCGAGAACACTTTGGTCATAGATTGCTCACCTTCGTAGTGAGGCTGGGTGGGTGCTATGACAATGTGAAAGTGAACGGAAGCCTGAGGCGGTAAAACGCAACAGATGAGATGGCGCCGAACGACAGCCTGCTATTGCAGCTACTGCAGCTAAGTTTGCAAGGCCCCAGCGCGCTTGCCAGGTGGTTTCCATGCATGGGAGTGTCACATTTGCGATGGTCACCAAGAAGTCTTTCTGTCAGACCGAAGGGAATAGCTCTTAAGAAAGAGTGCGCTTTCGTTCCGACTCAACCTGACACCCGCCTCCAAACGTGTGTCGGTTGCGCAGCAACACAATAATATACAGTGACGGAATCGACTCTGCGCATTACGTTCTGGTGAGTTACAGTGAAGGAAAGAGGGTGTTGATAAGGAAAGGGAAATTAGAGGCGACTGCCAAGTCCAATAAATGGCATAGCCAGTATTCTTCATAGCTGCACCCAGAACCAAGGTGAATAACGGTCGAGGAATCCTCGACCATGGCTCTCTACTGTGCGAGAGTAGTGTCGAGAGTGAATGTATGCGCGCGGAGAGCACAGACGGCTCGCGGGTGGCGAGAGTGAATGTCCGCGCGGGAGAGCGTGACTGAACAGGCGAAATCCTCGACGAGCCATTGCCGTTTCCTCGACGAGTTTTCACCCTCCCCAGAGCTGATCATCTCCATAAACAATGTAATGATTGTGATGGTTTATCTGCTATAATGTCTGCTTATATCTTACTTGGTTCTCAAATATGCTAGTGCATCAAAATGAGAGACGTCCATTGCATTCAGTTTTTGGTCCCGTACGTCAGAAGCTGCAAGTCATTCACTTCTAGAGAGGATTGGTGGGCTAATCGCATAAGCATCTAGTACAATTTGGTCACGTTTGTTTGGTCCGCGTGATCGTAGAGCTGTAAGAGGCTGTCTTATGTTAAATGGTGAATCTAACACCACGTGAACCCGTTTCACTATTGATTTCAGGTCGAAGAAATCTCGTGGCTGGAGGACATTTTTGGTGGTTCCAGAACTGGATCATGAGTTAACGGTTTGGACGGACCGTAGACCATTGTTCGAACAGTTGACCCAACTCGACAACACTTTGGCTGACATCTACAAGCACTTGGACGCTTCTTCGAAGAGCAAGCCACAAATTCATAGCGTTCTTCAACAAGTAAAGGTATGTGTACTGTACTCGATTTTCTGCTATAAGACGTACTGTAATTGGTGGCTTAGTCACACAGTTATATGTGACATGGAAAAATAACAGCAGCGTCCGTCAACAAAAATCATGCATCATTGGATTTTTTGAGGCCACCGCACATGTACTATCAAGTCCGCAATTACGTCAAGTTTTACCGCGGGAAACATAGCTCACTTGTAAATTCATACAGTGATGAGTAGTAATGTAGCATAGGAAAAATAAAAATAGTTTAATGTGTGAGTGGGGAGCACTTCGAAATCAAATTTTCACATATAGTCCCATGAAATTTTTCATATGGTAAAGATCCTCTAAATCTTCTTTGTGTAGTTTCTCATTTCTTGCCACATGAAACTATTGAATTCCTAGGTATTATTATAGTCTCGGTAGGTTACTAGAAATGTTTGCGCTTCAATGAGTTCCTTGCTCTGCCTAATATTGATAATTTGTCTTGAAATAGTGCTAAAACGCGTAATCCGCATTAGGTCCTTGTTATGTTAGAATACGTACTCGGCTATTTTGCATATATTGATCTACACAATGAATTACGTGGTCACAATGTGAAAGAAGTGTGGTTTAATTCCTCCGGGCAGGCTCGCCACAATCGTCCCGACCCCTACCAGGGTCAACCGTTACGTTGGACCGATATTGGAGCGACGTTGGACCGATGTTGACCGCTCTCCGCGCCGGCATTCACTCTCGCCACCCGCGAGCCGTCTGTGTCTCCGTGCGTACGTTCACTCTCGGCATTACTCTCACACGCTAGAGAGCCATGCGTTGGACTTTGTCCAACGGACGGTTGACCCTGCCCCTACTCTCTCGGAAGAAATGAAGATTGGCATCGGGGCAATATTTCATTCTCCAGACATGCGTGCCGGCAGGACTACTTTTGCTTACAGAATTAGAACATGAACACATGAAAGGAAATTTTCAAATACTTGAAACTTGGTTCTCTCTCTTTGTCCAATCGGAGCCACGCGGGCCATAACTCGGCAACAAACGACGATCCGCAAAAGCGAACATTAACCAAAGTTGACTGTTGTCGGCTGTAAGATCTCACAGCTGAACGCTTTGAGTTATCGTTGAGGTTCAGGCTGCAATGAGTACCTCAAAAACAGTGATAATGTAGTCGAGCGCTATGTAGTTTGAAATCTGTTTGATTTACCTTATCCATTTGTTTAGTTGTTTACTCGGATATATTTATGCCTAACTGGACCTCTTCAACTACTTTCTTGTTATCCTTGTCATAGTAAACACAATCATTTTTTTTCATAGTCGCATTTTGGTGATCCTCACGTTCTTCGGTTGATTTCTCAAGGGAAATTCAAACAAGATGTCCGTTTCAGAGTATTAGCCACGAAATGGACCAGGAATACGGAGTTCTGGGTTCACTGTTCCGTGCCGGCTCACGAACCACATTCTTTGCTTGCCAAGTTGAACGGTACTTCCTTTTAATTTCTTGTTTCGGAATTTGATTAACGAGAGGTGTTTTTCATATATGCAGGGTGAATGTAGGGAAAGTGAAGGAGAATTTCCGAACGAAGTTTACCCACATATCAAGTGTTAATTTTCTCGGTCATCTACGCGCTTCTCCTCAGAATTCTGAGCGTATTTCTCTTTGGTTTTAATGCAAAGGATCCTCAGGAATGGGTTCCCCTAGGCACTTAAATGAAATCAAGAATCCAAAAATAATGGGTCCTCAAGTTTTATAGCAGAACGAACTGGACTCAACGCTAAGATTTCGAGAATGGAATCTTTGTGTCCATCGCGGGGGTTCCAGTATATGGAACGCTCCATACTAAGTATAAAGAATCGTGCGATAAGGGAAAATTTATCGGATTTTTTTCTTAGGACCCAGAAAACACCAAGAAGAGCTTAAGGGCTCCTTTGCGAGATGTAGCCCTGGAGGTTCAGCGACATAACCCTATTCAGGTTTTCTTTTTATGGGCAGGATAGAGCTGTGCACGAAGGTGGCAGATGCCCTGTCTACCAGACTGTAAGGTGCGCGGAACAAGAAGGCCAGGACCCTGCAATGAGTGCTTCAACCGCTTCCATCTTCCTCGCTTGTGCCTGCTGCGTGTGTCCGCGCTTCTCATCCATTGTGTTCTCTAGCCTTGCTCATCCTCTCATTGGTTTAGTGGACTTGGCACAAAAGTGAGCAACCCCTTAGTTTCAGCATTTTTGCAAGATCCTTTTGCATTTTCTTTACTACGGGCTCACTTCGCACCGATGTTTTCATTTCCGTGTGCAAGGACACGTGAAATGATCCTCTCCTTTCTTTTCCAACTTCTATTTATTTCTATTCTTTATCCGATTCTATGGAATTCCATCAATCATTTTTAGGTACGCAGATCTCTATGCTTCATCATGCTATAATCTAGTACACTATCCGTCTTTCTACTTCTTCCGTGCAGCAATGCAGCTAATGCCACATGAGAGTACTGTGGATCATGCATCAGTACTGAACAGCTCCAAGAAAGATCTGTTTGCGCGACAACGACAACAGAGTGTCGGGCAGCAAGGTTTGCTTTTTCCACCCCTTCTTGGGTTCCACTTTCTCATCAAAAACAGTTTAAATGCGATGCGACCCAATGCGGCCCACTGTAGCACACTGCAGTGCATGTTTGACAAGATGCTTTTACTGAATTGCTCTCTTTGCTGCCTCAGAGCGGTACCTGTCCAGGCCGTAGTGTAGTCACAACTCCGTCGCCAGATGGATTGAGTTCCGTTAGGCCGATGTCAGACTTTGCGAATCGCTCGAATCGCTAGTAGCGATTCGCAAAGTCTAACATCGGCCTTAGCCAGAATTTACCCAAGAGTTAAACCAACAGCGCATTCCTTAATCGTTATTTCTTCATCAACAGTGAGCGAATAGCACTTATGGGTAATAGACGTCTGGTAGTTAGTGTGTTCTGAAACGATGGCGCTGGATGCGAGCTGTCGCGAGGCGGTGTACTAGGTGGATAAATATGTTATAAAAGTTAAAAGCTATAGGACCGCTATGGGTGCCAATGGTGCCTGCGATTGGCAGGTCTCATTGTTGGCCTGCTCACCAATCCTTCATGACTTGGCCGTCAAGCACTGAAAATCAGCAGAGGCTGGTCGATGACACAACTCTAATGGTCAAGAATAGAGTAAGCGTTCAGAAATGCAGAGTTCAGGGGACCCATCCCCGAGTTGGAGGCTTGCACCCCGCCCCAGAGCAATTGACCATATCGAAGGGTTCTCGGTACCATTGTGCACTCTGCTTTGATACGTTGTTAGAGAAGGCCTACCAATGGCGAACATGCAATGGTTTTGCAGAACCCGCCCACATCCTCAGCCAGATCCTTTTCTTTGAATTCCTTTAAATTTGACGCTCTGGAAACACTAACTGAAGAATGCTTATGTTTGCGTTGTCTTCGTGAACTCGAAAAAATGTTTTTTTTCTTCTCATTTTAGTTATGCTTACTTACGATTCTGTTGATTCCCTAGAAATGGCATATTTCAGTACGCGGATGGACGAAGAAAACCGCGAATGAGAACGAATTCTGTCACGAGGAGGAAGAGGACGAGCAATCCATCAGTGACGGCGAGGTAGACTGCTGACTTCTAGCTAGTTTTAAAACTTTCAAATGTTTTCAAAAAAATTCTGAAGCCTCTAGTAATCATCTAGAAGGAAGATCGCTATCTATCGCATATTTCAGCCTCCTGGTGCACGTCTTCGTTCGAAATCGCTCAGTGACGACACAGCTGAAGATGAGGTGGCTGACACAGACGTCGTCGGCGTACCACCAGCTTATGTTGACCACAGAAGTAGACTGAAGCCTGCGAAGCCAAGACGATCATGTATGATCATGCACAGCACTCACTGCACTGCCTTCATGCTTATTCTCTATATGACCACTAAGTTAGGCTTAACTCCAAGAAGCACGTATTGTCACAGTTGCCTGCGAAATGCCTTGGAATTACGCTCGGTAGAAGCGGTATAAGGGCTGAATAGGGGCTAGCTCAATGGAATCCGTAGCCAAATTTACTCTAGTTTGCTCCAGAATCAACTCCTTCTCGGGAATGGGAAACCGGCAAGCATGTACACCGTAATTTCTTGTGAAATGGTGACGAGGATGACTTAAAGGCACACCCAGGCAGAAGTCGTGTGAACGGTTCTCTTAGGTCTGTAGGATAGAGCCGAGGAGGACAATCTTAAATGTGATTCCTGTGCATGAACTTCACCTGACAAGGGCGATGGGGCCTTGCAAAGTGGGCTGCAGCTGCTGCAATGTTTTAGGCTGCTGTCTGAAGCCCTCTCTCTTTTGCGCTCTCTCGCCTCCTACTCTGCTGTTCGCGCTCATTCTCTCATTGCCTTAGCACAGCCACGTCACGAAGGTGAGCAAGACTTTAACTTGAGCATTCTTCACATATTCCTCACCTTTGTGCTTTCTGTCGGCCCATCTGGTCCCCGGTATTTGTGTGCAAAGACAGCACCAGTTGGGTCTGAGGCATGCCTTCAAGCTCGTCAAGTAATTTTCCTAGGGCTTTGCCTCGTTACTTAGAAATATTCAGCCTATTTTACAGCACTTGTCCCTGAAACTTTTTATGCATTTGCGTCATCGTCCGAGCATTCGCAGTCGAGAACGTCCACTCGCCTTCTAGTAATGCAACAATGAGTCTGGGGTATTTCCCAATGTTTACAGGCTCGTAGAGGATAGAGCAGGATGTGAGTAACAGTTTATGGGGTCATTTTACCGGCAAAGGGCTACCAGCAAGAGGGATCAGAGCGAACTGACGAGAGTAGGAATAGAAGTGTAGGCGTGATGGGGCCTGACGCTGCTGCGTTGCGGATAAGTCGGTCGCCTGTCATCTCTCACTTCAGGCTCGCATTATCAGCTAATATACGCTATTTGCATGCACGTTCTGGTCGCTTGCAGTGTAAGTCCATCCGCGCTGATAGGCCCGTTAATCGCGTTCGATTTTTCGATCAAACCAAATGCTCGAACCTCACCTTTTTGGCCAAAACGTCCGCCCTCGGACATTCGAATTGCCCAAGGGGATGAAAAAGAACTCATTCAAGGTAACAGTAGTTAGCAGTCACTCCTCTTTGAGATGAGAACCGCATATGGTGACGCGCTGGCATACACCATATTGGTTAATGGAGTCCAAGGCTCTGCAAAAAAATAAAAAAGGAGTAGAAAGGGAATGTGCATGAACGATATGTGAAAATTCGAATGGAGACGCGGCTTGAGCCCTATCACTTCGATGTGCAAGTGTCAGCAAGATTATCGGTTAGGTTACGCGGTTGCAGGCGGAAGGTCAAACATCTTCAAAGGCAAAACCGGGATTAGCTCGACTAGTAGGAGGGATACCACGAGGGAAATTGTAAGGTCCGTACCTACCTAGATCACTCCAGCTTCGTCGCAAAATTGCGCGGTTAGGGCGCTAATCCTTACGGGCCTGCAACCATCGACCCCGTTCCAACGCTTCCCACCGCACGCGCGAGAGATGGTGAGATCAGTGTGCATTGATGTAGAGATCGGCGTGTTCTCTCAAACTACGTACACTCTCGCGTATTTCGTCTTCTTTGACCGCCCTATCTCACCATCGTACCACATTCCGACCTTATTGAAGGTTAAGGTCTTAGTTTCAGCTATGATGCTTCCACCACAAAATGTACGCTAGTTGCTGGGCATTACTTGAAAAACGCTCCACCTATTAGCTTACTGGGTGGTTTGGACGAGTTGTATTGCCAGCAAAAATACATTCTGGGCAACTCGACTGCAGCAGGCATGGCGCCGCCGAAGCATAGCAGTAAGCTCGTCCATACTTCCTGTCTGAGCCGTTGCCCGTCCATTAGCGAAAATCAATGACCAACCAGGGGGTCCCGTTATTTATTTTATTTTTTATTTTTATTTTAGTTCATTTATCTTGCACTCATTGGTGCGCTATGAAAGCATCAGAGTGGGTTAGTTCTCATAAAATGATCGAGATAAAAAAGAAAACAAAAACAAAAGTACCTCTAAAATAGCCTATCTTGAAGTGTTCCCTCAGTCTATGGGCCGATGGTGGGGGGGCCAGTGAGGACCAATACGAAGGCTAAGGCTCGTTATGTCTTCTTGATGAATTTTTCTGCTTTTTTAGCCACTGGCGTACCACTGAGCACCCTCGCGTCCTCTCTAAACCCCTCTAGACCTATTGTAATTGCTGCTTTTGAAGGCCGACATCAATTGCAGTGCTGCAAAGAAGAGAGGTGAAATACCGACAATACTGCACCACATAGTGAGAAGTAGAAATTCAGGTCCCACCTTTTCACCCGCGCCCTGTTTCTCTTCCTCTACCGATTTTCGATTTCCGAAGGCATTCATTACTCACTTTGCGGCTTCTTCTTATTACCTTCTATCCTCGTGTCCACAATTTTTTTATTGGTGTTTCAACGAAAAGAGCAATTTTTGTAAACACCTGACAAAAGGTCCTATGTTTGATTCGAAACTTCCGCAAACGCAGCCAAAATCATTTTATATAGACGCGTTGCATGAAGCAACACGTTGTGACAGATGTCGCATGTGAGATGAAGCGTGAAGGCAGGCGCAGCGCACGATTGCAATGCACGTAACCGCTTTTTTGCATCAACTTCCGCGATTCTTACTGGTTCATATGTTCTCACTTCTTGACAGATGCGGTTTATTTCTGTAATCCTGCACAAAGTGATTTTTAATCTCGTTATTATGCATTTCATTTCACTTAATAGTCAATTTGTAGAATAACTTGTAACAGGTACAATAGTTTCAATTGATATGTGGCAGTCTGCCAATTTATGAGAACTCCTGTTTCTCACGGAAAAGGTCTAGCACAATTTGCACTCATACACGCGTTATATAGCGTGATGCACGCAATAAAATTTATTAGAGCGCTAGAGCTGGACTCAACAATGCCTTCATCGAATACCAAGCTGCATTCATCATTGCGTTTGCTATCATTCCTCTTCTACTTTACAATTGTTATTTCTAATTCACCCGAATAAATCATTTGCAATGGCAGTTTTCCACTATTTCTATGTATTGGATCTCTCCCAAACAGGTCTTCAGTGCTTCCTACAATTGACGCAGGCTTGAAGATATCTTAAATATGTAGAAATTTCTATGTTTCCTATTTTTTTTTTTCTAAGTTTACTCGTTTGCTTCATAGCTTCGAAGTAGGATGAACAACGGTCGAGGAGTTCCTTACCATGACTCTGTACCGTGCGAGAGTGGACGTACGCGCCCGGAGAACACAGGACGGCTCGCACATGGAGTGTGAATGTTTGCACGGGAGAGCGTAAGTGATCGGGCGAAAACCCTCGACGTGCCGTTGAAGTGTCCTCGACCGATATCCATTCTGCCACCATTATATCAGTCTTCGCCTTAGGACTGATACACTGGGACCTGCGTCTCTTTAGTATTTACTGAATCTCACCCCATCGTCGTCAGGTCTTTCATCCGCGTGTGCATGTGCGTGTCCTTCAGCGTAACCTCACACAATGACTTTAATCAGAAGTAAGAAGTGTGGTCCCAGTGAATTATTCGCTCGTTTCTTTAGTGGCGTAGCAGCTGTGCCTACATTCTCTTCTTTGGATCCAAAAGGAAAATCGCGAAATGCGTGTGTCCCGGCTTTGTGAGATATGCATACTAGGAAAAAAGGGACGACGGTGAAAGGCACGGTGCGGGATTAGGCATGTTCGCTTGCTCCATCCCCATCCTGATACACAGGCGGACAAGTATTCGTGGCCTTCTGCCTTGGCTCCTTTCCGGCTTCAAATTGCGCGACAATTCGTAAATGTTGGCTCGACCCACGTAAACATTTCGGTTCGTAAGCCCCGCTTCGTTGTCGGCCTGCGAGGAGGGCGTGGAGCTGCGTTAGCAGTGGGTTGTCACCAGGGTCAATCGTCAAGCTGGACCAATTCCGAAAATTTTGCGACCCCTATCTCCC